AAACCGAGTAGAGCAAGTAAAGACAGAAGCAGAGTGAAGGAATGTGATCAGTTTGTCCTCCAGCAGTCTAAGCCTAGCCTCCAGTATACTCTGCATACGTCAGTCCGCGGAGGTCCACGCGTACCCTAGAATCAAAGCGGATGCCCACAGGGCATCTCCGTGCAAAGCTCAATTTTTACAACTGCGTACATGTACTCTGTGTCGCACAATAAAATGCACAGCGACCGACTGTTTTGTATGCGACACCAATGTATTAAATTCCCCTTCTTCATCCCTGATCTGGCCTTTTCTTTTCTTCCCCAAGAGGCAGTGATCTCTTCCTCCTCCGTTGACACCATGACTGAAATGGTGAGAAATAAAGGAATTTGTCACGAGTGAATTAAAATCAGGTCCAGCGTGGCTGCGGGAGGGTCTGGAGGTTTCCTGGAGGGCTGGTCTGATGTGTGGGCTGCAGGGCCAGCGCTCCCTGTCTTTTTATTTTTTAGAACTTTTTGTTAACAACATATAAACGCCGAACACTGCTGCAGCTGGGGCTGCCAGCTCTCGTTTTTTGTTTTTGCGACCTGTCAATCAATTGAGTAGGCGTGTCAACAAATGACCAGTCGGCGACCTCAATTTGTCCTGAAGGTAAACGCCCCTTGTCTGCAGAGCTGCTCTGCAGCCGGATGCTCAAGTATGAAGTCTCATCCCTCTGCGGACAGAGTGCACAGTTTCTGCGTGGTTGACAGGACGCGCGAGTATACTGGAGGCTTATAGCAGCATAACTAAGGGATAGCTCAAGAAACCCAAGCCAACTGATTTATCATAAAGGAAGGACTTAAGCCTAAACTTAAAAGTAGACAAGGTGAAGTTTGTTCCACAAGAGAGGAGCCTGATAACTGGAAGCTCTGCCTCCAATTCTACTTTTGGAAAATCTAGGAATATCTTTGTTATGACTGTGTATGGTTCTTCCACATGTTACTGAGGTCCCCAATTGTTAATCTTTCAGTGTTTTTCACCTGCAAACAACTATTTTACATCCGATGCCCTTCCGGATACAACCTGGACCCTCCACCCCACCCCACCACAACCCCCACCCCCACTACCATAAACACACCCAATTGTTAAATTGTTAAAAAAAAATGGTTTGCTTCTTCAGACGTAAATCATCAAATCCAATAAACGAGCCAAAATCCGAATAAGATGTTGGGAGAGAAGATTTGGGAAGTTTTTCATGGGTGCAACCCACAAACTTAACTTTGCTGCGCAACCATGTGTGGCACCATTTAAAGGGAAATAAACAGGTTTCCCAAAGGCATAAGATTTATTGCTCATAAGTTTTGTTACAACAATGAAATAAACTAAATACAAGTTTCCTACCTTTTTGTGCTAAGTTACTGTTTTTTTTCACACCTTTGAAATTCTCCAAGCATAGATGTAACTATCAAGTTTCAGTTTTCAAACTCTGCGGAACATGAAAATATGTTTTTTTTTTGTTTTATAACTCCTGTAAGTCTTTGACGAAGTCACTGAGGTCAATAAACCAAAGTATATTTCTTTACAGTCCATGGACAATGATGTTTGCAGATTCATTCAACCTTCATTTAGACAGGTAAATCCCATTGAGCCCCGAGGACTCATTTACAAGAGAGACCTGATTTCAACAAAGAATGATGACAATAATGGTCTGTAGCAACAACAATAAAAAGTTATAAAAAGGCATACAATTTTTTTTTGTTTGTTTTTTACAAATAAGATGGCTAAAAAATTTAACAAAAAACAGCTAGATTATAAATTGAAAGTAGAAAACTAAAAACAGGAACATGTCTGCATTGGTCCCTGCCAGGAGTCCAACAGATTCTTAAAGCCACTTAGAGAGGTCATGGTCGAGAGCTTCAGATCTTTTTGTAAGATATTCCAGGAAACAGGAGCGGAGTAGGAGAAGGTCCTTTTGCCAAGTTCAGTCCTCATTGAGGGAACACTGCAGGTAATAATGTCCTGAGTGCGCACGCTGTAACTGCACTCACGCAGAGACATGTAGGAGGAGATGTATGAAGGCAACAGACCAAGAAGTGATTTAAAGATGAAAATGTACCAGTGAAGTCTGCGTGAAGTTAATGATGTCCAGTTAAGCAGGGAATACAGGGTGCAGTGATGGAAACGATAATCACAGCCAGTTATGAATCTTAGTGCACCATGATAGACAGCATCCAACATCTGCAGGGTTCTTGTAGGAGCGTTCATGTAAATAATGTCACCATAATCAATGGAGGGAAGGAAAGTCACAGATACAAGGCGTTTCCTAGCATTCAGGGTTAGACAGGATCTGTTTCTGAAAAAGAAACCCAGTTTAACTTTCAGTTTCTTTTTTAGGTTTTCCACATGGAGCTTAAAAGAGAGATGCAAGTCGGCCAAGCTACCCAAGTATTTATAGGAATCAACAAACTCAATCGGGACACCATTTGAGGATGAAATCAGAGGAACAACTGCTGGGACCAACTTCCTATTTGAAAAAAGCATCCCTTTGGTTTTGTTGGCATTTAGGACAAGTTTGAGGCAGAACAAATCAGACTGGATGATCTTGAATGCAGATTTCAAAAGCTGGAAAGCCTTTTCAACTGTTTTAGCTCGACAATAAACAACTGTGTCATCAGCATAGAAATTTATGGATGCATTAGGGATGTTTTGACCTTTGTACATTATGTATGTAGATTGTAAAGAGGGTGGGTCCTAAGACTGAGCCTTGTGGTACACCATTGTTGACTGTTAAATAACTGGAGGAAGTATCATTATGTTGAACACATTGCCTCCGGTTTGAGATGACATTGTGATCTGTGGTGAGAACATAGCACAGGTGGAAGAGAACTTGGAGAGGTGAAAAAAGCACTTGAAAGAAGAGGAATGAAAGTCAGCCATAGTAAGACAGAGTGCATGTGTGTGAATGAGAGGGAGGCCAGTGTGAGGCTACAAGGAGCAGAGGTCCATTGGGGTCCACTGTCTAGGAAAATGGGGAGTGTGGTAAAGAGGTGATAAAGAGAGCCCAGACAGGATGGAATGGATGGAGAAAAGTTTCAGAAGTGATTTGTAACTAAAGGGTGTCAGCAAAGGTCAAAGAAAAAGTTTACAAGACAGTGGTGAGACCAGCTATGTTGTATGGTCTGGAGACAGAGACATGGACAAAAATAAAGGAGAAAGAACTGGAAGTGGCAGAAATGAAGATGTTGAGGTTCTCCTTAGGAGTGACAAGGCTGGATAAGATTAGGAATGAGATCATCAGAGGTACAGCACAGGTTGAACAACTGGGAGATAAAGTTAGAGAGACCAGACTGAGATGGTTTGGACATGACCAGAGGAGGGACAGTGGGTATACTGGTAGAAGGATGTTAGAAATGCAGCTGGATGCAGTTAGAGAGAACATGCAAACTCCACCCAGAAGGCCCCTGGACCGGGGTTTGAACCAGGGACCTGCTCGCTGAGAGGCAGCAGCTCCACCAGTTGCGCCACCGTGCTGCCCCCATTGACGTCATCTTGAAATAAAAGTAACCAATAAGTTACCGATTACTTCTGTGTTTTGATTATTTGCAAACATAAACATGAGACCGTACAAGAATTTGAAATTGTCAGCACTGAAAATTATTAGACAAAAATTAATAAATAAATAAAACACACACACACACACACTGTTTCTTAGTTATTTGGGGGGACCTGAGTTTAAAATTAGCACAATTGTAACCATTTTATTGTCCTAATTTTAGCCTATTAGAATTATATGTTTGTTTTTTTCTTCCTTCGGCTGCTCCCTTCTTCAGGGTCACCACAGCGAACTATCTCACGCTAAGACTTGACAATAACTTGTACTTTAAATAACAATTTAGATGATTGGACAATGAAGAATATAGACTATGATTCACGTCTTCTGGGTTCTTATTTGTCTGAAACGTTGCTCTCCTGATACAGGACAGCGTCATGAGCGTCTTCCTACTCACGTCTGCATCTTTGCAAGAGTTTGTTATAAGGACGTGGTGGAGTAGCGGGTGGACATTAAAAAAAGGCGCAGGTGTGGTTTGTGTCTCTACTAGGCAAACGAAACAGCAGGACGCTCAGACAGCACCGGTGAACATTTAACTGTCAATTAACAAACTACTTCATATTTTACGTGACCGGTGACAACCTTTGTCTATACTATAAGAACATAAACAAGATTAGTGACTAAAAGCGTTCTATTCGCAAAATAGATAGGTAAGCTAGCTGCTAGCATACCTAGCTTATCAATTGACGGCTAGAAAAGGCAAAAAAAAAAAAAAAAACGTACCTCCATAGTCAAACAGGTACCGTTCAGTGAAGAATGTGTAGCCTTTGTCCAGTTTTGAACATGTTGTCAAAGAAAATTGATCAGCAAGTCGTGTTATATCTTCGAATCGCATTTGTGGCAGATGTACTAGTGACTGTAAACTCCGTTTTCCCGAAGTAAGGACACGCGGCATCGAGTCAGTACAGAAGTTGTCTGACGTCATGTGAAAAGGGCCCATTGTTTTTACAGTGGATGCTCTTCCTGACACAACCACAGACCACCGAGCCACCACAGCCTCTGTGTGGAGCAGAGCTGCCATCTAGGGCGCCCAGGGGAGCAGATGGTGGGGGTTAAGGGCCTTGCTCAAGGGCCCAGAGTGAGGCGAATGAGGGTGGAGGCAGGTGTGTGCGCTTCACCTTCCCCACCCACATTTTGTTGTTGGTCCGGGAAGTCGACCCTGCGACTTCCAATCACAGGCTCGCCTTCTCTAACCTCTGCGCCACCACTACTCCATATTGAAATTATTAGTAAAAAATCACAAAAACAATCCATTTGAGCAATACTTTTAATTACAAATGAAAACTTTTTTGCAACAAAATGTGGGCGTAAACGTAAATTTATGACAGTCTTTTTAATAAACTGATCGAGGCTGATGTTTAGTATTGATAAAAATGTTGATTTTGTTTCCTTTTGTTTAAGATTAGAGAAAAAGCCCTTCAGCTCTGTGTCACATCAACCTTTAGCAACGGATGCTCAGCTTCCAGTGCCTTGGCTGACATGCTTGTAGCTGAAGACGGTGCTCGCGATCTGTTCAATTTCAGACTTCTCTCCACACTCCATCAGACATGCAAACCAACCATCACCAAGGTAAGCCAGCTCTGAGTAGCCACTGGGCCCTGGGTTCATGATCCAGGGCTCGCTCCACGCATGTGAATCCAGCGGGCACTTGCTCAGATACACTCCTAAATCCACTCTTTTGGACTGACTGGTTGGGTGAGTGTAAAGCAGCCAACGAGGGTCCTGACTGGAGTCTGCAGCTCCAGTTTGAGCTGGGAAGGAGACCACACTGCCCTGACAGCCATAGCCTGTTTCCACAAGCTTCCCGGCAGATGGAAGAACGATGAAATCCTCTCCGTTACTATCACTGACAGCTTCTACTCGATACCCTCCCTCATTGCGAGCATTGCAGTAGATGTACCTGTTTTCTTTGTTGTCACAAACCTCTGCCATTTCACATTCAACTGATTTTTCTTCAAGCATACTGCTGAATTGCCAAGTAACGCCTTTATCATCGCTATAAAGGCATATTGCGCGTGAAATTGCACAAAAACAGTAAATACAAAAGCATGAAGAGGAGCAGGAGCAGGAGCCATAGCCGTAGGCTGGTACAATCAGTCTGCCGCTCTCGGTTTGAAGGCCGTGGCCCGGCCCAACAGCAAATGCAGCCCACTTTTTCATTTGAGGCAGTTTGTCGGTGAGATCGGTGACTTCACTCCAGGTTTCACCGGCATCCTTGGTTGTGATGTAGCAGAGATGGGCCTTGTTAATGCCCCAAAACCTCTGCCATGCCTCAGAGACGGTACCTTCAATACAGATAAAAAACAGAAACAGGGTTTTGGTCGTCTTGTCGTAGACTGGGCAAGGGTTCATTGGACGATACCCATTCAGATGTTTCTTCTCCACCACGTTTTTGGCCTCGGACCACTGAAAAGCACATTATTCAGAGTAAATGGAAAAATAGACGTTTTTCAACTAAAATACTCATCTGCTTCAGACAATTATTACCTTGATTTTCACAGCGTGAGTGGATTCATCTTTGATAATTGTTCCTGTTTTCATGACCAGTGCCTCTGAACTGGCATCATTGGAAGTCCTCCGCTTCTCTGCGAAGGCCAACAGGGTGTTCTGGTCTCGGTCATAGAAAAGAGCAGGAATTCTGTAAACCTCATCCTTGATGGAAAGAAAGACGGTACTCTTGTCAAGAGTTGACATTTCGCTGGCAGTGGGTTGTCACCTGTGGGTTAAAGGATGATGATTCAGTGTACGATCATAAGTCTGTCCTTAAAGATGATCAGAGTCAGCTGACTGCGTTTTTCAGCCAGTAGTTGTTTTACTTTCAGCTGCTCTCTTCTCCAGGGGTCCACATTAACTCATGTGGAAGGCTTGGCAGTTGTTTTACATCAAGGCAACCTGGGTTTGAACTTGCACCCTCAGGATTATGAGACACTGACCATCTATCTACTGTAGCCGTCTTATTGTGTGAACGCTTTTAAATTATGCACACTATTGAGATCCATTTTTCTTCCATCCATTTGTTGGTATGTAACTCATGCCATGATATTTAAACAATTCATGTTGTGTGCCTGGTGCACATTGGCCTTATTATTTTCTCCCTTTGGACAGGTTTTGGAATGGCTAATCACCCTTTGATTGTTTTGGGCTGTGGACTTTTCCGCCCACCCATAAATAGGTTGGTTTCAGGAAGCTCACCCTCTCAGGCGCCCTCCTTTTTTTCAAACATCTCATGCGCCCACATTTTTGGACCTCTCACCCGCTCTCTATTTGGACCTTCTTGTTTGGACCTTTTTTCTTTGGCCGCCCTGGGTTTTCTGGGACCTTTGATTTATTTTTTTTGTCCTGATCCTGGAGCTGTGGCCTGCAGCCTGTGCCCTCAGCCCAAGGTAATTTTTGGGTGCTTTTTTTGTATGCTTTTTTTTTTTTTTGTAGTACTTTTGGCCTGGTGGGACCGGTTGTCCTGTTTTAGATTTTTCTTAACTATAGGTTTTTTTGTTGTTGTAGTTTTTAGTCGGGTACCCAGTGGCTTCGATGGCCCTGTATAGGGTTGGCCCTCTGTGGTACCTTTTTGTTCTGTTTGACTAGCTCACCAGGTCCTCCTTTAAGTTGTTACTTTGGATTTTTGTGTCTTTTTGGTGGACACGGGAATTGGGTGTTCCTCGTCTTTTTTTCCCCTCCCCAACAGGAAGCTGGTTTTTTAATAAATATAATGTTGAACCCTCAAGTTTGAGTCTTGTGTTCTCCTTTTATACGTTCATGGTGGACGTAACTCAGCTCGTTCAGGACTTTCCTACTGTGACTTCTTGTGTTTGTGCAATTTTTACTTTTTGAAGTATTTAGCTTTTTGGCCATGTTTTTCTCATGAAAATTAATGGATCTCCCCATTTCTCTTTGGGCTGTTAAAAACCTTTTACTGATAATTTCAGCTTTTGTTCTGGTTCAGCTTCTTTCTGCTAAATTCAGCTTTTTCCAGCTATTTTCCTGCTCCTTTTAACTTATTTAGCGCTTTTTTTTTTCATTTCTTTTGTGCTAATTTAAGATTTTTTTGGGGTTTTTTTTCAGCTTATTTTTGCTAAATTTAGCCCTTTTTCTATTTGTCAGCTACTTTTTAAAGCACTTTTGTTCTAATTTTTTTCAGTACACCTGCACCTGCCATTCTGTGTTCGTCTGTCTCTCCTTCCTGTCCTCTCAACTAAAGCAGATGGCCACTCGTCCTGAGCCTGGTTCTGCTGGAGGTTTCTTCCATTTTAAAAATGAGTTTTTTCTTTCCACTGTTGCCACTGTGCTTGCTCAGGATGGGAGACTGCGACAAAGTGAAGAATCAACTTGTCTGCTGATTCCTTAGATAGAGAATTTTACTAATTGACTTTTCTATTTATATGAATGTTCCTGTAAAGTGCCCTGAGACAACTTTGTTGTGAACTGGCGCTATATAAATAAACTGAACTGAAATTTAAATTAATTTTTGCTTTTTTTCCCGCAGTTTATTTATGTTTTGATTATTTCTACCTTTTCTGCTTCCTTCAAGTAATTTCTACTTTTGTGCTCCTTTCAGCCTCGTTCTACTAATTTCAGATATTTTTTGCCTTTTCAGCTACAGTTTTGCTAATTTCAGCTTTTTTTCTGCTCATTTGAGTTTTTTATTTGCTTATTTCAGTTATATTTTTGTAATTTATTCTGTCTCTTTCTGTCTGTTTTTGTGATAATCTGTGTTTTGTTCTATATTATTTCCTTAGCTTATTGTGTTTCCTGCATTCCCCCGTGTTTTCTTCCATCGTGTTGTCAGCTCCTGCTTCACCTGTTCCCAATCACCACATGCAGGTGTTCGTCATATTGTCTTGTTAGTTGTCCCTTTAAGTTCAGTGTCTCGGTGTTCCCTCCTTTGTCTGTGTATTGTGCTTCCCACAGCCTGCCATGTTCTGTTTCTCTGTATTCCCCTGCGCTCATGCAAGTTTTACTGCCATGCCAGCTTTTGTTTTGTGTTTTGTTAAATAAATCCAATTTTCTTTATTTTACTTTACCTGGGTTCAACACTGCGCAGATCCTGTCATTTTTAGCTTATTCTGCAACATTTCCGCTCTAGTCAACCTTCTCCACACATTTCTGTTGTTTTTCTGCTGCTTTCAGCAGATGTCAGCTGTCCAAACTTTTTCAGCCAAGTTTCAACTTCTTCAGCAACTATCAGCTAAAGTCGTTCAGACATAATCATTCAATGCAGTTTTATTTTTCAATTCAGTTTATTTATATAGCACCAGTTTACAACAGAAGTCGTCTCAGGGCACTGAACAGAAACATTCACATACATAAAAATCAGTTAATAACACTTTTTATCTAAGGAGACAGCAGATTATGTCCTCTAGTGAGTCAGATGGTGTGAATTCTCAGTCATCCAGAACACAATAAATCCTAAAGGGTTATAGATATAGTTGGAGACACAGAATTGAAAGAAATAGTCTGATTTTCAATTGCAGTTTCACTGAATGCTGATGTTTGCATCTAAGCTTCCTGTGAGTTGTACAGCTTCATTTTTCCCAACCAGTTTTTGAAGACAGCAGCAATTTTTCGTGCACAAACTGTATTGTAGTTCAAGCACATTATTTTGTTGCCCACCTCCGCCCCCATTGAACGTACCTGCCTCTGTCTGCTTTAGCTGCCCCGACGTTAAGGATTTAGTAAAGACCGGGACATTTGAGGAGGTAGCTGAGATTTTTTTTGAATAACCTCAGATCTCAAGACCAAGGAAGTTTGAAAACTCAGTTCTGATCAAACCAGGTGTTAAGCGACAACATTTAGCATGTTTGCCTAAAAACACAAGCAGGCTGAGATGTTTTCTCTGCTTCACTACATCTTTATGCACAACAACAAAGTTCATGCTCAATCATCCAGGTACCAAATCCAATAATGCTCAGTCAGGTCATCTGAACAGTTTCTTTTTTGCACTGAGCACAGTAATGCCACTTTAATTTGGACATTTGACACTTTATCTGTGCTGCTGATTTCTTGCCTTTAAGCTGCTATAGTCATAACTATCTGCTCACAACAGACTCATGTTCAGGCTGCTGTTTAATACACAACTGTAGGAGTTGGGGGGAAATGGTAATTAATGTGGTGCAAACTGTTAATAATCAACTGACTGCAGTAAAATGCACCACTCTTATCTTTTATTTTTCTTCAGTTATCCAGGGAGGCTTGTTCCAGGCTATGTAACAGGTGGGGGGGTCTGACTGCGGAGGGTAAAGATCGGGGGGTTCTGAGCTCTTTCCTGCAGCAAAGCACTTATAGGAGTTTGTTTTAGACTAAACTATGAGAGAAAATAAATCAAATTGTTTCTTTTTTTAAATCTTCAGAATTTACCAAGCAGCTGTGATGGAGGAGACTTTATTACAAGTAACGAAGCCATATAAACGTGTAATAATGGGTATCTGCAGATAAATAAGGGTGAGGTGCTGTACAGTTAGTTTTATCTGTAATAATCTTGAATAAATGACATTCATGGGTCGTTTGTAGATAAATCCACAGCTTTACAACATGCTCGTCCTGAAAAGATAAAAATACCAAGCAGGCTCCTGATAAAACAAATCAAATAAAAATGAATTTTTGTGCTGATGAACGCATTTTATTTATGATACTCATTACAACTCTGAAGGTCATTCAGTACAGTTTGTTTGTTTGTGCACCAAATTTGTTGATTTTTATTTACTTGCCATCAGGAGGGGGTATCATTTTCACTATTGTGAAAGCATATATTGTAAAAGAGGCTGTTTTTAATGTGCACCAACATGGACGTATTTATTTCTGTTTGTTTGTCAGTTAGCAAAATATCTCCTGAACCAGAAATCTGGTTTTAGTGATCATACAGCCACAATTTGTTACATTTTTAATGTAATTCAAGATGGCCACTACAGCTAATCTACTTTGGAAAACACAAAAGTGTCTCAGTTAATGTTACAAATACGAAAATCTAAAGAAATGTACTTGTGGTGGCCATCTTGAAATGGTTTGCGTTTCAAAGTACAAAGTATTTTTAGATAGACCTCGGATTAAACTAATTTGTAATAGTGTCATTTAAATCCAGAGGTTTATAAGATGAGGTCTTTCATGGTGACAGGAAATATTAATTAATTTTTATGTGAAAATTTAACATTGTCATCAGTAATGTACTCCAAAAGTAATGTTACTTTAACAATGAAGAATAACTAATAAAATCAGTCCATTTTAATTTGGCAGATGATTTACGACCACCTAAACTTGCAGTTAATCACATTTTCTCTTTAAAAGGCAGAATATAAAATTCACCAGAAATGAGTGAACTAATAAAACAAACAAAAGCATGTTTTTTTATTCATTCCACATAGGGTTGAAAAATGGTTTAACATTAAAAAGTTGCCAACTGCAACTCTGAAAATAAAACCTTCTCAATCAGACAAATTGTTTGTGCGCTCACATCCTTATAGAGAAGCACGTTTAAAAAGGTCCTTAAAATCTTAAATTTAAACATGACTTTAAATGCATTCTTAAAAATTGCTCTATTTTGTTTCAAACTGGACTGAAGACAATTACATGAAAAATGTTTTCATATCTAAATCAACTGTAAAATGCACCTTCCAGTGATGAAACAGAAGTAAAAAGAAATAAAAACAATATTTGCAACAACTCACCAGCTCACAGTGAAACAGGATGAACTGCAGAGAAGGATTCCAGAGAGGAGTCCTGATAAATGTGACATCAGGAAGGGTGCTCCCCGTTTATATTGCTGTTTTTTTTTCAGGTTATATAAAACGATTTACAACTTTACATAATCTTTTTTCCCACTCTACTGTGTTTCTAAGATAGAGTTAATGATTTTTGTATCAAGGCTCCCCGATGGCTAATAAATAGTGTATAGCTATGTTATTAATTCCTCTATAACACTTTATAAATCATTAATAATTGTTTATTATGCATTAATTAAGGGTGACAGAGAGACTGATCAGTTTCTTGCCAATCTGTTCACCTATATATTTCATCTAGAGTTGTTATATTAAACATGTCAGACTAAGTTATTACCTTGTAGCACAATAATCATTTGTAAACCTGTTATTTTAGGATATAATATTAGTTGTAGATACTTAAAATGCAGTGATAAAGTACAATATTATATGCTAAAATAATTAGGTTTACAAATGCTTATTGTGCTTACAAGGAAGTGACTTAGTCTGAAATGGTTAATATGACAACTCTAGATGAAATATATATAGGTGAACAGATTTGGCAAGAAAATGGTCAGTTTTGTTTCTCTGTCACCCTTAATTAATGCATAATAAACATTTATTAATGATTTATAAAGTGTTATAGAGGAATTACGTATCTGTAAACTATTTATAGCCATCTATAAGGGGGGCCTTATTGTAAAGTACTGTGATTTCTTTTGGGATACAAAAAATTATAATTAAAATCTAGTTTTTGTGTCCCTTTTTTGGGGTCTGTACAATTAAATTCAATTCAGTTTATTTATAAAGTGCCAAGTCACAACGGAAGTCGTCTCAGGGCACTGAACAGAAATATTCATATATAAAATAAGTTAACAGAAACATTCGTATTTATAAATAATAATTTAACATTATTTATCTGAGGAGCAGACTGCTTTGAGTTTAACTCCATCACAGACTCATCTTGAACAAGCATGAAGGTGACAGTGGAAAGGAAAAACTCCCCCCATGAGGAAGAAACCTTTAGCAGAACCAGGCTCAGGACAAGCGGCCATCTGCTTCGACCGGCTGGGTTTGAGAGGAACAGATACACAATGGCAGGTCAAGAATCACGTTAAGATAGAAATAATATAAAATGAAAACTATTCAATTTTAACAATTCATTTAAGGAAATGAGGTCAATTTGTCTTCTAGTCTAAGCTTAAGACAGCATGACAAGCCAACCCTAATTAAAGGATTTTTTTTAAAAAGGAAACTCCTGTTTGGTCAACGTGTTACAGAAATAATAACTCAACATCTCTCTCTCTCTCTATATATATATATATATATATATATATATAATTTTTTATTTTGGTTCATTTGTAAAAGTCTGCCAACACATGTGAAAACAGAAATGTCTGATTACGAATGTTTGGCTGCATCTCCATCATTTTATATTCACCATAATCTGAGATAAATAAAATATGATCATCAAAAAAGAATAACTCAATTCCATTATTACTGAGAAAACACAAATACCTTGTGTTATATAAAAATACTTCTTTATATAGGGGAATAACTGCAGGACTACAATTATGGACCATCTGACTCTGATGGAGAGACAGGCCTGGTTAGCTTCGTGTTTTTACGCTGAGCTTTAAATTCCCATACATTCGTGAATTATATGCCCAGTATTCGTTGAAGGAACCTTTCATGCCACCGTTTTAATAATAAGATCATTACGTGATAAAAAGAGACAGTTATAACGGTTTTGATCAAATCTTGTTAATGAAATTATGTGTGACCTCATACAGTATTGTCAGATGCAGTAGCGCTCAGAGCATGTGTTTAAGATGACTCTCAGCTACCAAGACATCAAATTTAGCTCACTATCAAATCCACAGTTATTATAACTATATCTGTGTTGACTTGTTGATTAGCTGTATTAGTCATCTTGAACTGGGTTCACTCCAAATGTGAATGAGCTTTACATGCAGAGCCAAAGATTACTTTGTGAGAGTTTCACTAAAATATGTTCAGTGGTTCATGAGATATTTTGCTAACAGACACAGGAGCAATGCTGTCTGCGTGTGTCTTTTGGCCGCGGTTAATAATAAGTTGTCAGTAAATGATCAAAGCGTAGAGCTCCAGTCACAAACGACGATAGAATGGGAACGTTTTAGTTGTTTAGAACAAATACGTCAAGTAGTTTTCAGCAGATGATGCAATTATCAGTTCGTATTCTGTTTTTAGCAACACTTGTGGTTTCTGGTAGCCAGAGGCCATGTATAAAAAGCAGTGCATACTTGAGGAATCAAAAAGGAGGACAGTAAAACAAGAAAAATGAATGCCCTGGGGGCCTTGAGGAGATTACTCAGCCCATGCTGCAGATAATGCTGCAGATAGTGACAAACAGGGAACTTTGCTCTATTAATGCCTTGTGTTGATAAGAACTACACTGAGGCCTACGTTTATGTAACATAACTTGTCTAAATGAATGCAGACTTAAAAACGGATTATATTTGATAAACACCGGTTTTAACAGCGGTTTGTTGGCAAACTTGAGTCCATTTCAAGAAGCGCCCAGTCAACGCGTTCTGCCCAGAGGAGCCATGAATGGCTTGTTTTGATAAAAGCCAACAAAGATGGGCGTGTGCTCGCTCTCGCCTCTCGAGCTGTGAACGCACATTGCGAAAGAGAGCGGCGAAAAACAAAAACAAGCCCAATCCCGCGCCAAAATGTCCGCTTCCCGTTGACACGCCCGTTTAAAAGCCCGTCTGATCGGAGCCAACATGGCCGCCAAGCAGCGCAGTTGCAGCAGCCCCTCGGTGGGCGGAGCCTCTGGGAAGCTGAGTCACATGACCAGCGCGGAGCCAGACTCACTATCTCCAATATGGTGGCCAGCTCGGCAGGTCTACGGTTCCTGTTGATGATATTCTTGCTGTTCGGCGGGATCACACACAGCGCCTGCAGCCCAGAAGCGTCGTGGGTGGTGGGGCTGCGACTCGAAGACCCGGTGGGTCCGGTGTGCATGAAGGATCGGATCATCTCAGCGCCGGAAGGAGCCAAGTTCAAGCTCCGTCTCTTCGGGGCTAATCTGAATGGAAGCTGGCCGAAGGTGGCGTTCGCGGTGGCACCTAGCGGAGCGGTGGGTGATGCCCCCGACCCGTGCGATGAGGAGTCCAACCGGCAGAAGTCCTCCTTCCAGGTGACGACGGACCTGGTCCCGGATGAGGAGTCCAGCGGGCTGCTGACGGTGGAGGTGCAGCAGAACAGCACGGAGGGGGAGGCGGACAGCCGGGACAGCTACCACCACCTGTGCGCGCTGAGCGGGGAGAAGTGGGCTTCCGTGGGCCTGGACAGACTGCGCGTGAGCCGCGACACGAGTCCGGAAGGGGACTACATCCCGCCGTGGGGTCTGGCCCTTGTGGTGGTGCTGCTGCTGGTGCTGTGCGGGCTGCTGAGGACCGTGAACCTGAGCCTGCTGTGGCTGGACCCCGTGGAGCTCTACGTCCTCCACAGCTGCGGCTCCGAGGAGGAGAAACGAGCCGCCAAGCGCCTGGAGCCCGTCAGGAGGAGGGGGAACTTCCTGGTGAGTTTCTGAGAGCACACAGGAGACAGCCCCGCGGGGAGGTGAAGGTCTGGAGGCTGCTTTGTTTCCTTCTTGCAAACGTCCCTGTTTTCCGCCCAGACGTGTTCTCTGCTGTTCCTCTGCGCCGTGGGACACTCGGTCCTGGCCGTGCTGCTGTACCGGGCTCTGGGCTCCATCGTGTCCGCCGTGTTCGTCAGCGGCTTCCTCGTCTTCTTCCTGGCTGAGCTGCTTCCTCACATCCTCTGCTCCGGGTACGGCTTCCAGATGGCCCCTGCGCTCACTTGGCTAGCCCAGGTCTGCATGGTGCTCTCCTGCCCCCTGTCCTGCCCTCTGGGGCTGATCCTGGACCTGGGCCTGGGGAGGGACATCAGCACCTGCGGGATAAGGCAAAGAGCCATGGAGATGATCAGGGCAAGCGTCAATGACCCCTACAGGTAAGACAAGACTATAAAAACTTAGTAGCAATAAATTACCCAGTAACTCAACCAGTACCTGGTACTTACAGGGTATGTAACTGGTGCTTAACTGGTACATTCTGGGTACTTTACTGGTATGTACATACCAGTAAGTAAGTACAGTACAGTAAGTACATACTTACATACTGGAAGTGTGCCTGGTACTCAGTGTTGCCAGGTGAGAAATGTAGGATTATCGTACTAGAGACATAAAATTATCGTATTTTGAGGGAAATTATCGTACACCCGTCATAACCAAAATAACAAATCTATTGATGAACTATAGTAGTGATGGGTCCGCTTCCAGACCGGCTCTGCTTCTTCTTCTTCTTTTCTTTTTTCTTTTCCTCACTCATGGGGCGGGCGCAGCAGACTATTCAGCCAATCATGGCCGTTGTTCTGAGGCAAACACGTCACTCGTAGGTCACATTTAGAAAAGCACGGACACAGATGCCTTCAGGGTTCACAAAAAAAACTCAGACGGTTGCGAGAGTCTGATGACAACCGATTACAACCACACATTCACGGAATGGTTAAATTATTGTATATTTGGCCTTTTATGGGGATTATTTATCATACATGGTACAGAGGGCAAAATTGTCGTACAAATACGATAATTATCGTACACCTGACAACACTGCTGGTACTTAAGGGTATGTACCTGTCACTTACATGGTACGGCCGGGACATACCAGGTGCAAAGTGAATAGTTGGTACTTATCTGGTGTGCACGTACATATATATGTATCAGTTGAGTACCAGGTATTTACCCTATAAGTACCAGGTATGCACCCCTGTAAGTAATGGGTATGTACACAGTACCTATGTACCTAGGTATGTAACCGATATGTGCCAGTTAAGTATTAGCTATATACAGCAGGTACATACCGTATTTTTCGACCTATAAGTCGCAGGTTTTTGCATTATTTACACGCCCTGCGACTTGTAGGCTAAAGCAACCTATTTATGAATCCCCCCCCCCCCCATATTTATAAACCATTTTTTGGCTGAGATATGACCGTTTTCATTCATTCTGACTGAGAAAAAAGAAGAGTAGTGCCACTTTCAGCCACTAGATGGCAGCAGAGTAGCAGTATGGCATGCTGTTGTATCATGAAATAGGTAAACGTGGCTATAATGACAAATTCAAAAAAGTTCAAGACAAAAACAACTGGACTTTATTTAGTATACTTTATACTTTATTGTTTTATTTCTTGAACTTTTTTGAATTTACCATGTCCTGGATGACTGAGAATCTTCACCAGTTATTAATGACACAAACAGCTTGCCATAACCTCCCCACCTTCATTCTGCTCGCTGCTTGGAACCGACAAAACAGCTGCACCGCCCTGGCGAAATGCAGCTGATTTGACCATTAAAGTGCATTTATTAAGCAAACGTTACACTGAGACACACCTTTGCTATAATTTCGAGCAAACAAATATTGTTTTTAGGAGTTTATCTTGTTAAATTTGTACAGCGACTCGTTGCGTGCATGCGTTTACTTCCGCGTATTGGCTTTTGAAATGCAGCTGATTTGACCGTCAAAGTGTATTTATTAAACAAAATATAGACTGAGACACACATTTACTGTAATTTTAAGCAAACAAAAAATTGTTTTTAAGTGTTAATCTTGTTAAATTATTGTTAAAGTCCTTTCGTGCACGCTCCCGCGGCCGCCATTTGGCAGCCAGTCGATTTTTGGCACAACACCGGCGCACATTTCTGGGTTGTCAGCGGTGACTCGTAATAGATGCGACGTATACGGCGAAGCGACATATTTATGGATTTTTCCACTTTATTAGACAAATATGGACTGATGCGACTTATAGGGCGGAGCAACGTGTATGGCGGAAAATACGGTAGATGTTACCTCAATAAGGAACCGTCCAGATTTAACCATTTTTTTTTGATCTACCTGGATGATTGAACCATTTTGGGCTTGGTGTCCTCAGGTTGTTTCTGTAGCTGTTGGCCATCAAGCTTTCATTGCTATGACGACGATTGATTGTTTTGGGCGGATGGTTCCTTTCTGGCATGTGTAAAGCCAGTTTCTGGGAAATCAACAGGAGGCTGGCTTTAAACACATCAATGAGGAACAGCTGAGTTGGCTATGGAGGGTGGAATGTGACAAAATTAAACAAATAAATACACAATTAAATGTAACATTCCACCTTCAGCATGCCAGAGACCGATGAAGTATTTCGATTGAAAGACGAAACATTTCCAGACTACATGATTTAACCATTTTTGTTTTAGTGTTAATTTGATTTTCATTTTGTTCATATCATCAGCTGCTTTTCATGTTTTGATTCATTTATTTCTTCAGTTTCAAAGCAAACGTGACATTAAATAGACCCAAACGTATTTGGAAAACTTGACTTGGACACAGAAGACTTGGGACTTAGCCCAGACAAACTTTCCATACACCTCAGACTAGACTAGGTCATCAACATAACTTTAGACTTAACCCACACTGGTCCTGCTGGGAAACTGCAGTTATACGTAGAACCCCTGGTGTTAATTCTGACTCAGGCCAAAGTTTTTACTTGACTCTGGTTGAAAGTATTTGAGACATGGCAGGCGTAGTCTTGCTCTTTGGTTTGAAACATGATCTGTAATGAGTTTGGCTCAACTACAACTGGGTCAAAAGAATCTGTAAAGTGACTTGAAGACTAATTTAGATCGCTGAAATAGAGTTACACTCTGTCACTGATGCGTGAAGCTAGGCGAGTTGCAAGACTGCCATCTTGCTAGGTGCTACACTGTACGTTGAAGCCACTCGTGGTCAACGTCTTGTTCACGCTTTATAATATTTCATGAGCCATAAAAACATGAAGCCCTATTTTACTTACATAAACAAATATGCAAATTGTGACAACAGGAGACGAGGATGACCAAGCTTGGTCACAGGAGGCAAGATGTCCACCCAGTGGGCTACGGCCCCCCTTATAATGTATACTAAGAATTTTCTTGGCAGCTTATGGACTGTACTCAAGGATCAAGCGTTAGGCCAAAAAGTAAAAATGTGCATTAACTAAACCTTTAAAAGTCAGCACTTCATACCATTTAGCTATTTCAACTCTTTGATAGTACTTTATACCAGTACACCTTTAGTACTTTGCATGTCTACCTGGTCTAGCCAGAGTTCTGCTACCATAGTTAATTTTACTTAAACTGATAGAATAATGTTGTCTTTTTCTTCAAAGTTCTGGAAGTACTTAGACCTTATATAGCATGTACTTTAGCATCTAGAACGATGTCATTTTTGTCCAGTCTGTGCACTGTTTAATTAATAATTAGCACATATTTTTTGATTTAGGAATACTCTTTTGACAGTTTCGATTGACATACACAATGAACAATATAAAGGTTTTAAAAAATTATGAGCTTATATGGTATAATATTCACCTACGAAACAGAATACTACATTCTATGTAAGGCAGATTTTAAACTTTTCTGAGTTTTTTTTTTTTTTTCAGAAATTGATAGCTGTTATGCTAAGAGAAAATAAAGACGCCATGTGGCACCTACCAAGATGGCGGTGCACATTCTGCCTATATTAAGCAATATATTGCTATTGGTTGGACAGTCCAGTGTATTTTTTAAATACTTTGAGACTCGTATTTGCTTTTGACACCGTGTGACTTAAGACCTAATTCAGATGTTGACCCAGTGCCGTGTTGTGTTTGTGTGCAGTGAGTTCGTAAAGGAGGAGTTCAGCCACGGGATGCTGCGTTCAAAGACGGTGGAAGACATTCTGACTCCTCTAAAGGACTGTTTCATGCTGCCCAGCTCGTCCGTTCTCGACTTTTCCACCATGTCGGAGATCATGCAGAGCGGGTACAACCGGGTGCCCATTTACGAGGAGGACAGGTGGGTGCACGATGAAAACACTCACATGACTTTAGAAATATTATAGTTTATTGTTAAAATCGCATTTATTAAAATCACAAATGATAGCACAAACCCTGGAGTCAGAGCTGAGCAAGGTGTCTGCAGGTTTACTGATGTTAGGTATCACTTGAATACATTTTTTCTAATTATTATTTAGACGTTACATGTTTTACTTCAGGATAATGAGCAGCTTAACTCATTTGTGAACAAACAACTGGGGTCAGAAGTTTAATAAAGCACTGGCTACTTTTCAGTCTTTCTGTAAATAGTTCATCTGCAATAATTTCTCACGAAGTCTTTATTTACTGATAAACTAGTTCATTACTGTGCAACATGTTGGATAAAATTTTAAACAAAGATAATGTGCGTTGAACAGCACTTGGAATATGTGTTAATGATTTTCAGCTACACCCGTACAACGTTTTAGCACAATATCTGTAAAATTGACTGAATTATAGCTATTTATGTGTTATCTAAGATCAGTTGGCTGTGGAAGCCATCTTATATTGGGGTGACTTCAAAAGTTAAAGAGTTTTAGAGATATATTCAAAGATTATTTGTTGACAATTTAATTTAAATTCATCCAGTGGTTCATGAAATATCATGCCAACAGACAGAGAAGCACCGACTCCAAATCGTTAACGGCAAAATTTTCAACATTGATCATGCGCAATATGTTAGCACTCAGATTATGAGTAGGGGATCAGTCTCAGCTACTACCACACCAAATTTTAGGACAATATATTTGAAATCAATCGAATTATAGCCATGTTTGTATTTTATAAATTTTGCTTGTCTTTGGCTGCCACCTTGAATTAGGGTGGCTCTGTAAGATAATCATTTATAGATTTACATCCAGTGAATACTTTCTACAAGTTTTATTTAAATCTGTCTATTAGTTTGTGAGATATTTTGCTAACAGACAGATATAGGGAAAACATTATTGTCCACCTCAGCCTTTTGGCAATGCATGATAAATAACACGTCTGAATAAGAATTCATTCCAAAAGTCTTGGATTAGGACATATTGTTGTAAAAATGAGCTTTAGTGAAGATGCTTTGGAAAAACAGAGTAGATAAGAAACACGTAATGATTAAAAATAAGTTTAAAGTCCCGGTTGTTTCCTGCCGCCTTCAGCTGTGAAGCAGAAAAACTCGTATCAATGTTTAAACCTTTCAGAATGGTTGCATCAAACGAAGAGCCCGTCACTGGTTACATTTTCTTTAGAAGACCTTGTGTTGCGTTTACCTCTTGTACCGACCTCACGGTGTTGCTATGGTAACCAGTGATGGCGCTACATTTACAGTCCACATTACATCCCACTGATCAGGGAGTGATGCTTGTTTTCTGTCGGAGCCGCCTCCTCACCACACGCTTGGTTTCTGCCAGGTCCAACATTGTGGAAATCCTCTACGTGAAAGACTTGGCCCTGGCGGACCCTGAGGACTGCACCCCCATGACCACCATCACCAAGTTCTACAACCACCCGCTGCACTTCGTCTTCAACGACACCAAGCTGGACGCCATGCTGGAGGAGTTCAAGAAAGGTGCGCTCAGATCAGCGTTAACGGGAGCGGCGGGGGCCAAAACTTAAAACGCAGCAAAACGTCCGGCTGTGAGAGTTTCCAAATTATTCCAAAGCTAAAGGGCGGTAAAGTTTTTACACATGTTTCTGTGTTTGTCTGTCTGTTAGCGAAATATCTTATGCACAATAAGATGGATTTGAATGAAACTCTCAGAAAGTGAAACTTTGAGCTACAGCTACAAGTGTTTAATTTTTGGAGTCAGTTCCATTCAAGATGGGCTCCACAAATATGAACTGTAGTAAACACGAAAACATTTATTACTCAGTTAATTTAACAGAAATTGAGCTAAAATTTGGCGTTGTAGTAGCTGAGGGTCCTCTACAATACATATTCGAGGCACTAATGGATTGTGCAATATTTGTCCTTAAAACTTTGCCATTAACTAATACAGTTCACTCTGCCTGTCTGTTAGCAAAATATCTTGTGAATTCATCATCAGCTTTTTATGAAACGTTCAGAAAGTAATCATTAGATGTAGATCTACAACTGTTTCCATTTTGAAGTCAACCTCAAAGTCAAAGATGGCTGCGACAACAGAGCATCTTGCGTGTTCGTGGATGGCGGGCGCAGCTCGGTGCACGTCCAGAGCAGCTGGGTGCTGACTCAGTTCTGCGCAGCTGACGGAGCAGAGCGGGAACACAGAAAGTCTTCGCTGCAGCACGAACAGAACCGTCGCTCTCTCACTGCAGGGCTGAGCTCGTCCGCATTAAATGTGCCATCGTTTGCTCCAGCTGCTAAACTTAAACAATATGTGTTTTGTACGTCGTACAAGATCATGTGATATAAGTGAGAAACCCCAAACTATAAAATGAGACGTTCAGTTTTATTTACATTTTTGAAAACGTAACTTCAAGTTGAGGGGTTTTAAAGGGTTGCTTGGAAATATGTTCAACTGGTTTAGTGAAACGTGCACCTCTACCTCTCTCTTGGTTCAGCCCTACCTACCTATACATACATATACAGTATATACACACACATATATACACACATATATATATACACACATATACACACATATATATATAGTTACTTTATTGATCCCAGAGGGACATTCAGACACATTTCATATTCATGTTATTATTATTATTAGATTTCCACTCATTTCTCAGTCAGGCTCAATAATACTCTCTAAAGTTAATTTCAATTATGAGCCATTAATGAGTAATTGTATTTATTATTTTGTGCTTTATTTAATACAGCACACTCCTTAGCGATGCAGTTAGTCATGAAATACGTCAGTGCAGACACATTTAATGAAGTGGCGACCATCAATGATTGTTTGTGATCTTTGTATTTACTTCTTTCTTCTTTAAAGAACTCCAGATGTTTGTGTTTTAATGTGGGGTGCTTAGTCTCCATGTGCTGCAGCAGTTTTGAAGGTGTCAGGGCTGCAGTGGATTTCCAGTCGCAACATATCACACAGAGCGCCACTCGATGTGATGAACACATCATTTAATAATAATAATGTCATCACTGTATGTTTCCATACGATGGCGAAATTAGTCTCTGCATTTAACCCATCCACCACCAGGTGGTGCAGTGGGCAGCTATTGAGGGCACCCAGGGGGCACTTTGGGGATGAGGTGTGCTGCCCAGAGACACCACGAGGTGTGCAGTGACCGGGGATTGAACCTGGGACTTTTGGGTCCTGGGCCGGCTGCCCTTCCTCCACACCATCTCGGCCCCCAACTCTTGCTGTTATCTTTGAAATGCAGATGTGTTTTTGGTGTCAGATGTGGAGCCTTCTGCTCCATCAGCAGGTTGAGAGCTTATGCATGAAAAACAAGTGCGACTGAGTCAAGTGCTAAAAGTGCGGAAAAAGAAAAAGTAAACTTTTCATTCTTTTTACACGGCCTGGTACTGGTTCCCAGCCCAATGGTTGGAGACCCCTGCTCTAAAAGGCACCATCGTTGAACCACAAACCTCATCTTCTTTTATTGGCAAAGCAATAAACAAAACAGACTAAACTCGTCTGAAAACGTGTCCCGTTCTGATGTGGAACAACGACGCTCGCGTCTCTGGTCCCACTGGGAGACTTTACGTAACGGACTCGTGCGAGTCACAGAAGCTCGCAGTCCTGTTGCTTGAATTTTGCACATGTTCAGAAGAAATGTGCAACAGGTTTTCTCTCAAACTACCATGGTCACATTTGGTGCAGGCGTCTAAAACCTGTCTTGATGTTGTCACGTGCACCTTTCAACGTGCTCAAGGACTGTGCTTCGGAAAAAACGAGCCGAGGTGGGAACGACGTGACAATGAATGAGAATCCACCTTTGCAAGCCGTGCCCATCCATCCATCCATCCATCCATCCATTAATTCTACAATCCATCTTCTTTACCCACTTTTTCCTTTCTGGGTCATGGAGGTCACTGGTGCCCATATCCTCCAGTCACTATGTTTACATGATGGACATAAGTAATCGGAATAAACGGCCATTCAGAATAAAAATGCATCATGTAAACTCCCCATTCGGATTATTCTTTGTTGATTCAGCTCAATCCGAAGGAATTTGTAATCGGAATAAAACGGGTGGTTTATAGCGATTCATAACCCGAATGGTGCGCATGTAAACGCTTAATCTGTTCATTTTTTTTCTGATGGTGAAAAACTGACCTGACTGCACATGTGCGACCTATGTCATTTCCGCCTGGCTAATGCTAATAATGTTAGCATGTCGGGGAAGTAAAACTGGTCGATGAGCGACAACATTTCTACTAGAAACTTTGAAAGAGCTCAAAATAATCTGTATTACCTGTAGCTCAGTCAGGGAGTGCAGCAACGTCTCCACCGTCATTAAAACCTGTCGCGGGTCCATTTTGGGCGCTCAGGTTTCATCACGGAAGTAGAACTTCTTCTTCTGTGTTTTTTTTTAAGGAGAGTTTACCACTCTGCACATGTCAGTACTTCTGTTCAGAATAAAAGCCCGCTGCATGAACACGCTCATCGTGAACGGAGTGTGCCCATTTAAACGATACATTTGGATTATTTAATCTGAAAACATTTCAATCTGGTTAAAGAATTTTGCGCATGTAAACATAGCTACTGAGAGGTGGGGACACCCTGGACAGGTCTCCAGTCCATCACAGGGACACGTAGATACAAACGAGACAAACAACCATTCACTCTCTCACTCACACCTAGGGACAATTTAGAGTTACCAATCAGTCTAACATGCATGTTTTTGGTCTGTGGGAGGAAACTGGAGTAACTGGAGAAAACTCACGCATGCATGGAGAGAACATGCAAACTCCACCCAGAAAGGCCCCTGGACCGTGATTTGATATGGTGACTTTCTCGCTGAGAGGCAGCAGCTCTACCAACTGAGTCACCCGCCTGTTAAAAAAAATTAAAATAAATATATACATGTATGTACAGTGCCTTGCGAAAGTGTTCGGCCCCCTTGAACCTTTTGCCACATTTCAAGCTTCAAACATAAAGATATAAAATTAAATTTTTTTGTGAAGAATCAACAACAAGTGGGACACAATTGTGAAGTAGAATGACATTTATTGGATGTGTCAAACTTTTTTAACAAATAAAAAATTGAAAAGTGGGGTGTGCGATATTATTGGGCCCCTTTACTTTCAGTGCAGCAAACTCACTCCAGAAGTTCAGTGAGGATCTATGAATGATCCAATGTTGTCCCAAATGACTGATGATGATAAATAGAATCCACCTGTGTGTAATCAAGTCTCCGTATAAATGCACCTGCTCTGTGATAATCTCAGGGTTCTGTTCAAAGAGCAGAGAGCATCATGAAGACCAAGGAACACACCAGGCAGGTCCGAGATTCTGTTGTGGAGAAGTTTAAAGCTGGATTTGGATACAAAAAGATTTCCCAAGCTTTAAACGTCCCAAGGAGCACTGTGCAAGCAATCATATTGAAATAGAAGGAGTATCAGACCACTGCAGATCTACGAAGACCCGGCCGTCCCTCTAAACTTTCATCTGGAACTAGGAGAAGACTGATCAGAGATGCAGCCAAGAGACCCATGATCAATCTGGATGAACTGCAGAGATCTACAGCTGAGGTGGGAGAGTCTGTACAGAGGACAACAATCAGTCGTACACTGCACAAATCTGGCTTTTATGGAAGAGTGGCAAGAAGAAAGCCATTTCTCAAAGATATCCATAAAAAGTGTTTAAAGTTTGCCACAAGCACCTGGGAGACACCAAACATGTGGAAGAAGGTGCTCTGGTCACATGAAACCAAAATCAAACTGTTTGGCCACAATGCAAAACGATGTTTGGCGTAAATGCAACACAGCTCATCACCCTGAACACACCATCCCCACTCTCAAACATGGTGGTGGCAGCATCATGGTTTGGGCCTGCTTTTCGTCAGCAGGGACAGGGAAGATGGTCAGAATTGATGGGAAGATGGATGTGGCCAAATACAGGACCATTCTGGAAGAAAACCTGTTTGAGTCTGCAAGAGACCTGAGACTGGGACGGAGATTTATCTTCCAACAAGACAATGATCCAAAACATGAAGCCAAATCTACAATGGAATGGTTCACAAATAAACATATCCAGGTGTTGGAATGACCAAGTCAAAGTCCAGACCTGAATCCAATTGAGAATCTGTGGAAAGAGCTGAAGACTGCTGTTCCCAAACGCTCTCCATCCAACCTCACTGAGCTCGAGCTGTTTTGCAGGAAGAATGGGCAGAATTTCAGTGTCTCCATGTGAAAAACTGATGGAGACAAACCCCAAGAGACTTGCAGCTGGAACTGCAGCAAAAGGCGGCGCTAGAAAGTATTAACACGATATCACTCTTAATTTAAAGAGCTCGTGATGTTTAGGCATAAAAACTGGATTCGGTCTTAGACCAGCTGAGCTGCCATCAGTCTGAGTTCCAAGACATGACGGAGCGACAGAGAGGGCAGATAAATCACTCACCCTCTTAGCGGATGTTAAAGCCAGCAGCAAGGCTGTTTTAAGAGAGAAGAGTTTAATTGGAACCTGATTCAGTAGCTCAGATGGAGCCTAGATCAGGGCTCGCAGGACCAGCGTTAAATCCCACTGTGAAGCAAGTGGGCATGGAAACAGGCCTGCGTCTTGAACACCTTTAAAAAACACTTCATCAGCGGATGATTAAAGGCTGTTCTGACCCTGAAAACCTTGTGACAGGAAGAGATGGTTGTAGCATACGTTAATCATGCTGAACGCCAGATTTCTGTCCATCAGCTGCTGCAGAAAGACAGCACACCGCCTAGAGGACATGAGGTGACCTCTACACCTTCTCTATACACCTTTTACAAAACGCTCCATCAGAGGATGATTAAAGGTTGTTCTGTCTCCGAAAACATCGTGACAAGAAGAAAAGGCTGCAGCATACGTTAATCGTGCTGAACGCCAGATTTCTGTCCATCAACTGCTGCAGAAAAGGACAGCACGTTGTCTAGTGGACATGAGGTGGCCTCTACGCCTTCTCTGTACACCTTTTAAGAAACACTACATCAGTGGATGATTAAAAACTGCATATATATACATATATATATGTATATACGTATATTCCCTTAAATTATCTGTTCAAAATCCAAATACTCAATTGATCGAGATTATAATAGAAAATATGCACATTTTCTCAGTTTTCATTCCCTGTCTCGTCTCCAACAACCCAGTGCTGCCTTCAGGAACCATCTACAAAGTGGAAAAACCAGAGTATTAAAGTTCCACTCATTTTCTTAACTAATTATATTATTGAGTGTTGGCAGGTTTTGCAGTTCGTGGACAACCTCTACAAAGTGTTATTCCTCAGCTGGAGTTGTGTTTCCTTGTTTAAATCGACCCCCTCCCCCCACAATGCTCTCCTTAGATTAAACTGTCAACACCAGAGTTATTACAGATCCACAGCTTTGGTTTGCAGCACTGAGGGAACTGGTTTCCCTGATTTGGGCCTTATATATGATTCTGTATTAAAATGGGTCATAAGTCATGATTATTTTTTTGTCTTGAATCTTCAAAGTTTCTGTTTCCAAAGCTTCACATATCTGCACCTTCTGTTTGAGCTCATACTTTTAAAAACAGACGTCTGTGAGTCTTGGCAGCTTACCAAAGTCACGGGGTTTATTCCTGCAAGAGGGGGCTTGTTCTGCTTCTCTCGCAAGATTCGTGAAACCCGAGACTTTCTATGAAACAAGGAAAAAAGTATAAATCATACTGTGTTTAACAAATATGTGCTCTATCTGATTTTTCTCTAGTTTTATGTTTTGCAGCTGGAGATTAGCTTAAATCAAATGAATGATTTTAGGCTTTGATCTCTAAGAGGAGTTATCTGTGTTGGATGTGGACAGGTAATTCTCACATGGCCATCGTTCAGAAGGTGAACAACGAGGGGGAGGGGGATCCTTTCTACGAGGTGCTGGGTCTGGTCACCTTAGAGGACGTCATCGAGGAGATCATCAAGTCGGAGATCCTGGATGAGTCTGTTGGTTACTGTGAGTGTCTGAGAGCATGAGAGCTTCTGTCGCTCCTCACGTCGTTGTCCAAACCTGTGTCTGGTTTCCTCCTGCAGTGGACAGGAAGGTGAAGCGTCCCCTCGCTCCTCTGGAGATCCCTCTGGAGCCCCGTAGCAGCCACGAGGAGTTTTCCCTCTTCAAACCTCCTGAGGGAGAGGCGAAGGTCCACACGTCGCCACAGCTGCTGCTGGCCACACATCGTTTCCTGTCCAGAGGTTTGAGTCGGAGTCTCCCGCATCTGTTCCTGTCTGCACAGACATCCATGTATCAGTAACAGTTGAACATGTTTCATTATTGTGCCTGGCAAAACTTAAAAAAGAAGAAAAAAGCTTTGGTCACTGGAGAAATCACATTATCTGCGAAAATGTAAAGTACGCGCCGAATGCTAATTCACTTTCCTGAAATTGCTGAAGCATAAACTGGTTAAAGTTAAAATAAGCAAAACAAGCTGAACAGAGGCTAAAATGAGCAAAACACAAGCTAATGTTCTTGAAGATGGCTAACAGCAGCAGAACAGTAACTAGAAGCAACAGAACAGAAAAGTTGCTTTTTTTTTGGGACTGGTTCACTTCAGTGAGTGAATTCATGGGAGCTTTAGAAATTGTTTTGCTCTCGATGTCCTTCCTGGCACAACGTGCGCTCAAACCTGCAGCCTCTGGATTACAACAGAGACAACAGCTCTGACCACCGAGCTACCCCAGTCCTAAAACTAGCTAAAGAGTAGGTAAGTGTGACGATAACGATATATATCGCAATATGTTTTTGGTATAAAACTTCTTAAAAAGCAGCATAGGGTGTTCTTTTGCCATCATGTATTTTGAATTAATAAAATTCCACTACTAGGTCCAGAGAGTTTTTAAATAATAAACGAATCAAGTATTAGGCTTCTTTCTTGTAGTGCAAAATATATCAAATGTAGTTTTAGTCATATGTTTTAAACAAAATAATATGATGTTAACTCTTTAACAGTTTCCAGTCTTCACTTAATAAATGAGCAGCAACAGAGCAGCATGTTGCACTGAAACACTTCACCCTCCAAACCTCTAGTTGGCGCCTCCTTCTGCTTTAATGGAGAGCTGACACAAAATGAGTCTGTGGCTTTGACCAGAGGGTCTCGCAGTAAAATTACACAACACAGCGTTCTTTTCACAGATCAGAGAGCAGGTTTCTCTAAAGATGACCAACGCTTACTTTAACTTTCCACGGAAAAAAAAAAAACTTTAGACGGAACTCAGTGTTTTGCGCATGCGTCAGAATACGGTAACACTACGGCAAGCCGAGCGTAGTTAGCTTGTAGCTTCGCTACTTAGCTCTTGAAGAAAAGACTTTAACGCCACTTACGCACAGTTTTCAACTAAAATAAAATAACGATTAAATCTGACAGCTCTGATTTTACATCCGACACAGCATTACTGCGGTTAGCCGGTAGAAGACAGATCTCTGTCGTAGGCTACATTTCTATTGTTTCTACCGTATATATCGCACACTCCTAATATACATACACACACATATATATATATATATATATATATATATATATACACACACATATATATATATATATATATACACACACATATATATCAGAGTCAGATATTCTTTATTGTCATTCGCACCACATGTGGTACATGTGTTGGAGCAAAATTATGTACACAGGGTCCCAGTTACATCCAACAATAAA